TTTACGGGGAGATTCACTTCTATCCAGTTGATGAGCAAGGTTATATTATCCCGGTTACTAAGCACGATGAGGATTATCGTTCTATGAAAGTATTGAAGACGCGTGCATTGAAGCTCATTAGTAACAATTGGGAGGCAGATTTTAAAAAGGTGGATTACGCACGTCACCCAGCGTTGAAAGAGGCCATGCGATGGGCTCGCCAGAAGATTTTAAAGAATCCCCCTAGATGCTGATTTATGGGGCCTATGCTGTTCCTAGCCTTCGGGCCACATATTTTATCCCTCATGGACTTTTTGTTCTGGCTTAGCATTTTTTTGCCTTCTTTATTTTGTGGGTGAGTGGGAGTTATGTTCCCTCCCCCTTCTCTTTATTTATTTACTTTACTTTTAGGGTGAGTTGGAGACTTGTTCCTTCCACCCCTTTTCTTTATTTATGCGAATAAAACTGCTTTTATTTAAAAAAAAAGAATAATACAAATATATATTGGCATAAAAAAAAAGCAATGTAATGTCCCTACTAGGGAAGGCGAAGATGCAAGTGAGCACGAGACCTCTGAAAGTCTGCTAGAGGTAAAAAACTAAAGTATGATTTATTTGTATAACTTTTTGATAAAATACAATAAATGGCATTGTTACGAGTAGGGCTGGGTCCGGAAAACCGAAAACCGAACTGAAATTAATCGAACAATACCAAAAAAAGCCGCACCACGAAAACCGAAACCGAACTCAAAAAACCGAACCCAACTGATTGAATTCGGTTTTGGTTGCGATTTTGGCTTTTAAAAACCGAAAGGAATTGCTAAAAACCAAATAGTCTAAGGGGCTGTTTGTTTCAGCCTCTTAATGGTTCAGATGTCTAAATGGTTCAGCAATTAATGGTTCAGACTGTTTGTTTCAGCCTCTTAATGGTTCAAATGTCTGAATGGCTCTGACATTTGTCTCTGAATGGTTAAGTATTATACAGAGTGTGAATGGTTAAGAGCTCTTATCTGAATTGATCAGAAATTTGCCTCTGAATAGTTAAGCAATATACTAGCTCTTAATAGTTAAGACCTTTTACTGGTTCAACACTTAATGGTTCAGACCTTTTACTGGTTCAGCACTTACCTATTAGGTTTAGGGGCTGTTTGGCAAATTCTGAATAGGTACGTGTTGAACCAGTAAGAGGTCTGAACCATTAAGTGCTGAACCAGTAAGAGGTCTGAATCATTAAGAGCTAGTATATTGTTTAACTATTCAAAGGCAAATGTCTGATCAATTCAGATAAGAAGTTTTAACATTCAGACTCTGTATTATACTTATCCCTTCAAAGGCAAATGTCTGCATCATTCAGACATCTGCTCACGAAACAAATAGTCTGAACCATTAAGTGCTGAACTATTCAGACATCTGAACCTTTAAGAGGCTGAAACAAATAACCCACTGTCAGTACAAGAGTTAGACTTCCCCAAAATTCTCAAATCCCCAATCGCACTCCAGTCTCCAATAGGGGTGAGCAAGTACCGAACCGATACCAAAATTTTCCGAAAAAACCGAGAATACCGAACTGAAAAATACCGAATCGAAAAAATACCGAGAAGGAACCGAACCGTACCGAACCGAATTGTCGGTACAGTATTCGGGAACGGTACGAGGTGACGTCCCTTACCGAAAAATCCCGTACCGAACATATATACTAAAATATGATAATAAATAATACCCCGGAGTAATATTTTTATATTCCTTCACTAAATAATATTTATTTAAAAAAAATGGTTCAAGTTCTATGATGTGTAAATTATACTTTTATTTGAGGTTTTAGTTTTTGTGTATGAACATAAAAATTTCACAAAGATTCGAAATACTCATTTGTTGTCATTCATTTTTTTAGTTTGTAAAATATAAACTTAGATTTGATACACATCTCTTGCATTTAAATATTCATTTTTTTTAATTTTTCATGTTTTTTTTAAATTCACTTTTAATTTTCAAAAATATAAGGGTATTGTTAAATTTTAACGTGTAGAGTATGTCTATTCATCCCGATTTGTACCGAAACTGATCCCAAACTATCCCGAACGATACCGAACCGATATTTCGGAATCGGGATCAGTACGGAGTAAAATCCCATACTAAACCGAAATATTGGTACCCTATCTGTACTGGCTAAATACCTGTACGGCAGTGACGCAGTCTTGTTTAAATCTTCTTCGCTGGAATAGCTGCGCACTCCAGTCTCCTCCTCGGCAGTGACGCAGTCTTCTTTCAATCTTGTTTGAATCTTCTTCACACTCTAGTCTCCAACGCGGCAACACTTCCACCGTGGTTCTTTAATAGCAGTGAAGCAGTCCTAGATTGAAGCATCTAATCTAAGCAAGAAGGTATGAAATCATATGTTCTTTAATTTTTTTATCAAATCATTCTAGATTATGAAGCTGCATACTTAACTAAATTCATACACTTGATTGAGACAATATGTTTCATGGACCCAGCCCCAACATAGTTGGGATTAAGATGAAGNTGACGCAGTCTTCTTTCAATCTTGTTTGAATCTTCTTCACACTCTAGTCTCCAACGCGGCAACACTTCCACCGTGGTTCTTTAATAGCAGTGAAGCAGTCCTAGATTGAAGCATCTAATCTAAGCAAGAAGGTATGAAATCATATGTTCTTTAATTTTTTTATCAAATCATTCTAGATTATGAAGCTGCATACTTAACTAAATTCATACACTTGATTGAGACAATATGTTTCATGGACCCAGCCCCAACATAGTTGGGATTAAGATGAAGACACTTGATGTGGAAAATTAGGATTTTGGGAATATGTTTGGAATTAAAAAAGCAGAAATGCATTTGTACATAAAATATGCATCACAAGAACACAGAATAAAACTAAAATAGCCAAATTCTATGAGAATAAAAATCAGTCCAAACAAAAAAAGACTTGGAAGAAGATGAAACGGTTACGTCTTTGTAAAAAGAGGCAATATGCGTCTTTGATGACTTGGGTAATCAAGAAATAAAACTTACGGGAATATGAAAACATTGTGGGGAAAAAATAAATATTAGGATTTCCAGGGGTTTGCTGACCAAACACCTCAAAGCAAGGCACCATGTGGAGTTTGCCAAAATGAATGCAAATGGAAAACCAATCCAGATTTCTTTCTTTGCGAACAAGGGTAAGGGCGGCCTCTTTTTTATAGCGACGCGTAAAATGAACAAAAAATGTCTGAGATTATTTGCGAGGAGAGTTTACCATTCATGTTCTCTGAAAAATATGGCTTTATTGATTATCGTCAAAATGCACTAAACTCTCGAGCAAGAGGAGTTTAACAAAAACAATTAAGAGAAAAATAATTAGGCAATATAAAGTTAAAAAAATATTTTCGCTAACTTTTTTCTTACTTTTAAATCTCGTGTTACCAATTATTATGATATTTGTCATAACTTGTCTTACATAGTTGTTACTTGTCATTGGATAGATAATGATTGTGTGATACATAAACATATTCTTGCATTTTTTGATCTCAATGAATCTCACATGGGTGATAATACTAATTTTCTGCTTCAGAGTATTGTGAAAGAATAAAATTTACTTGATAAATTGTTTTCATTTGGCTTTGATAATGCTACAAATAACACCAATGTCATTCCTAGACTTAATGAACTTTGTCCCCCTAGTAGTGCCATGGGTAGATTTCTACACCAAAGGTGTGCATGTCCTGTCTTAAATTTGCGTGTTCAACATGGATTATAAGCTATTAGGGTGTTACCTAAATTAAAGTTGGTTTAAAATAAATTTGGGGTAGTCATAATAATTCTCATGCATGGAAGTCTTTCTGTAAATCTAGGAATAGAAAACCAATGACATTTACTAAGGACATTATGATTAGATGGAATAGTACCTACATGTTGATTGTACAAATATTAGGGTATGAAGAAGAATTTACTTTATTTCTTAGGTTTGAGCTTAATCATATAATTGATCTGAATGAATTTCTTATTGTTGAAAAATTGAAACCTGTTAGGAGTTTCTAATAATGCAAGATCATTATTTGCTGTCTACAACATGTGCAAGTATAATGAAAGCTTTCCATAAATTCTTTATGCAGTTTCATTTTAAAGTTTTTCGCAGCTCTGAAGTTCGCTTTTGTAAAACCGACCATTACCGGGTTTTCAACCTAACCCGTCCGAACAGGACCTACGCTACCACTTGGTCTCTATGACGGAGTGAACTATTTGCACTCCAAGGTTTCTAAACTTATCTCGTCAAAACAGGGGAATAGCTTCTTCAAGAAGAAGAGCACACCAATGGAAATTATCCGATCTGAAAGGAAACCTTCAGTTTCCAAGGACTTTGTCACAACTCTCCCTATCTACCGTTCTGCTCCACCTCTCGAGGTCGGGCTAGAAGACTTCGAGCAGTATGCCATCGATCGCCTCAGAGGTAAAACTGAAGTGAAAAATTATCCTCCATTGAACTGTTTTCTTCCCTTAAATTAATTAGGTTTATCTGCATCAAGTTTTTGACACTAGTTCCTTTTTTATATGTTGTCTTGCCACTTGCTTTTACTCCCACTTGCATTGTTGAATCAATGCATTTCCATGATGATTGTCGTACTAACTAATTATTTTGAATTGTGATTGAGCAGTTTTGAGAGCGATTGCTGATGGATTATCCCGGGGAAAGAAACCAGATGAAATGTCAAAATTGGTATGTGTCATTTCCATATAAATTAAGTTTTATGGTTTAAATGTTTCTCCGTTCTTAGCTAAATTATAAAATATCAGGTATCAGGTCTATGGAAGGAAAACATGAGGCACCCACAAGCATCTGAAGTTATTAACAAAGATATAGTTTCACATTTTGTTTTACGGCTTGTGTATTGCAGAACGTAGTCCTTTTCCCTTTCTCCATTTGGTTTCTTGGTTTCATAATTTGCAGTTTTGTACTTGTTTGTTCCCTAGCTTTTTTCATTTGTGACTTCATATGCTAGGGAGGAATTAAGGAAGTGGTTTCTTTCAATGGAGACCACATTGTTTCGTTACCGCTATCAGAGTGAAACAACTGATGTCCAGGTGTGATTTATTTCTCAGATGTTAAGGGGGCATTTGGTTTACACAGGTACGGCTTATGAGTATCAGGAATCTGAACTCATAGTTGTATGTTGGCTACATAAAATTCTCCCAAACCCATTTCTGAAACCCCCACTAATCCATCCCTTCATACCCCAACCCCCTCTGATTTGGCAACCCATTCAAGCGACAAACATTAATGCTTGCAGACTCCATTTGTGAGTTGTAACTCAACCTTGTCCACTTAAGGCATAACCTTCATAAGCAACAGCCCAACACCAGCTGATCCATGTGACTCTTTAGCATAGCCGGTAGCATGTTGCTGAGCAGCTGTAAGCCTGTAACCCTATTTGATTCCGTGATACATACCAAACACCAGGTTCCATCTTCAAACAAACCATACTTAACCTCTACTCCTCAATCTTATTTTTTACCCCAACTTGATACCTTATGTCAACCAAATGCCCCGAATTGGATTCTTCTACTTGGAGGGCAATAGTTGCAGTAATGTATAAAATGTGGTTCTTATTACAGAGGGCAATAGTTGCTGTGAGCAATGCTGAATATGAGGTAGCTTTTTCAATCTTTCAACAATTTTTGGTGATTCTTTTATATGAAGTATTATAGTCTTTCTTTTTGATGTATGTGAGGGGTAGGGGTGATAAGAATTGTTTAGGAATTTGGAGAACATAAGATTTTTTTAGGGTTTATTTATAAGTGACAAATTGAAGTTTATATCAAGAGATATAACACACTCTTAACTCACCTTCGGGCTGGTTATATATACATAGACAAAAAAAGTCACTACTCGAGTGTAAATGTAGACTCCTTTGACCTGGGAACACCACAACTCTACTTCAGGACTCTGCGACCTCCGACCTCCTTTTTATCAACTTTATGTTGAATCACATTTTGAGTTTTGCTTAGGCTGCTAGATTGAACTTTTTATCAACTTTAGTTTGAATTACCTTTTGAGTTTTTTATTTAGTTGCTAGATTGAACTTTTTATAAACTTTAGTTTGAATTAACTTTTGAGTTTTGCTTAAGTTGTTTTAATACTAGCACCTTTGGGTGTTTTGGAATATATGTTTGTTGTGTTTTTACTTCCAAGATGAATATTTAGATCATGCACTCTATTATTTTTTATTGAATATATGTTTTATACATTTCTGAATTTAGTTAAGTGGTTGTGTGACTGCCATCTCTATAGGAAACTGGCTATCGCCATGATCGTTGCGATGCGCCATGAAATGAGGATCATTGCCTTTGTTTTTCCTTGGAATTTAGCTCCTTGATTAATAATTATGAGCTGCTGAATTTGCCACATTTGGAGGATGATTCACATGGAGTGAATTAAAGTCTAAGTTAAAAGAAAACTATGTGGAGACAAGGTGAAATTGGTGCAAAAAAATCAAAGTAGAAGGGTGTTGATGTTTTCACATTTTCCTTTGTGTGATTTTCAGCAAATGAGGGAGATATTAATGCGAGGCTGTCTAAGTTTGATTTGGGAGGAATTTTCGGGCATAGGTTAGGAGGAAATAGGAAAATACAGTATTTTATTGTGTGCTACATATGTACGAGGTTACGTTATTTAGGGCGTGGTCCTAATAATCTAATATATATATATACACACACACACACACACACATACATATATATAAATAACGTCATGCATTTACTTTGCTATTATCTTAACTGCAGAGCATAAAAGACAAATTGAGCCTAGTTTCCCGTTCCACTGGCCAACAGTTATCAAGTGGTACACAATTTGAAAATTTCTAATTACTGACAGCCCTTCTGGTTACATTTGCAGCACTATTATAACTCCTTAAATTCATTTTTTACATAGCTTTTTTTTCTTGCAGCTGACACATTCTACCAGGTATGTAAATTATTTTTCTCCCATCCAACAAAGGAAGGTGCATCTCGTAAGAAGTTTTCCATACGATCTACTATTTTTTCCAACAGAGTACAATAACATAATTAGTGATGCCATATGAACTGTAATGAGGTTGGAGGTTGATATTGGTTTGCCAAGTCTTTTCTAGAATAGTTCGTGGAGATGCACCGTCGCATACACAACTCCATTGTTCTGCAGTATTTGTTCAAGTATCATTACTAAGTTTTTCCATGACCAACTTTTCCTTATATTGCCACATACATATGGTAAATTAAGGTGCCATTTGAAGAGGTTTCGGAGCTAGTGGCCGGCCGAAGAGTATACATCCAGAAAGGGAATGCATACATTGCTACACATCAGGTAGCTAGTGTTTCAGCATTTGCTTAGAGAAGATCCATTGTAATTTCATCACTTAATCACATGCATGCGGCCTATCCTTGCAGTTGGTTTCATTTGTCATCAATCAATTCCGTAGCAATCTGTCAAAAGCACTTGCTCTTACAAACAGGTTCTTTACTATTCCAAACTCTCTAAAATGTGTGATTAATGTCTTCCTATTACCGGTGTATCTTTAAACTTAAATTAGTGCTGTATTTTTGCCCTTGCTACCATGATTGAAAGTTTCTGTGCCTAACCGTGAATATGTTTCTTGCTTTCTATAGAAAAATAACCCGGAGTACAACCCTATAACATACATTCACTATCTTATATGTTGCACATTGGTTTCAGAAAATGGATATCAATGATAAGAGAACAGGAGAAGGACCGATTGACTCCTGTTAGTATTGAGCTTAATAGAACTTTTGTCATTGCATTCTCTTTTGTTGAATTTTCAAATTCTTCTCCTTTTGTTCATGATGCCTGTTTTTCTTTGGGTTGCGTAGATTGTTGAAGCCCTATCAACAAGTTATTTGGGTCCAGATTATACCCAGGTATTTTCAAATTATGTACCCAAATAAATAGCTGTCCATCTCACTGAGATTCGATGTAAACCTTGGTGCATTAACTAGTCCAACTTCTGATGCAGCCACATGAATACACTGAAATTTCATTGAGGGATATTGATGAAGTTGCTATTACTTCATTTCCTTTGTGCATGCGCCATCTCTTTGAGAAGGTGGGAAGTAGTTTTTGAAATTTTGGTTATTTTTATGCTAGTTACTGTTAAATAAATATCATTCTGATCCCCATGTATTGCAGCTACGAGAGGATCATCATCTAAAGCATGGAGGAAGGATGCAGTTGGGCCTATTCCTCAAGGTTGTATCTTGTAGGGGTTTCTTTTAAATGCTTTAAAATGTCAAAACCTGAAGCTTTGTTTCTTCACTATCACTTGGGGGTTTGTACGTGGAATTTTATTTTAGCTTTACTTGGTGGTTGTTTGGCCCAAGTACTTAGGTTCTTAAGCTCCAAAAGGTAGTAGGATCACCAGAAAAAGGTTTGAATAAGGAAGAAATGTTACTATGTTAGTACGAATGTTGAAGATAACACATAACAAAAGCAACTATAGTCTGATGTAATAAAAATAGTGAATCAAGTAAATAGTGAGGATTAAAATGGTGCACTGCATCTCATATCTAAGGGTCGTAATGAAGTGTGAATCAACAACAATCCAGTTGAATCCTAAAAAAGTGGGGTCTGGGGAGGGTGTGTGTACGCAGACCTTACCCCTACTCGAAAGTAGAAAGGCTCTTTCCAAAGAGACCCCCGGCTCAAGCACCACAGGTAATCACGCACGCAACCTAACCCCTTTAAAACATCTCAGCTGTTTTCGGATGACCCATTATGAGCGTCGAAAGTTGCATGGACTAACTGCTACTTCACTACTGCTTTATTTCATTTTGGCTCAAACTGTGGTTTCAATTCTTCAAAGGCTGCTATGCGAGACGTATATGCTTCAATAGGGCTTGTCTATGATTTTTCTTGGGCATTTCTAGCAAGCCTTTACCACAACTTATTTCAACATGTGATAAACCGATTTCAAGAGTTGATAAGAAGGAAAGAAATCCTTTACATGAAGTAATAATTTGGCTGAAGCATGCACCATAATATTATTTTAGAAATTATATTTAACGATCTCAATCATTTATTTTCCATTTGGTACTTCATATGCCATTCTCTTTTCATGGAGAAATGTGTGTGCAAGCTATATACCATTGCTACTAATTTTTCTGATTGTACATTACTGTATTCATAGGGTGTTGGGATTAAACTGGATGATGCCCTTGCATTTTGGAAGGCTGAGTTCTCCCAAAAAGTAGGTATTTTGGTTTTAGGCTATTTCTTCCTCCATTGCCTGATATATTGACATGAGTAGTATTGTTCAAACTATGTTGTAGGACTTTATTTAGATCTACGCTTCTACATCAATTATCTTTTAATGTGTATAAACATGACCCTTTTTATATCCACTTCATGGAACCCAAAAGAGCAGTGGCGGATCCAGGAATTTAGGTAGATGGTGGCACAGGTGCACAACTGGTCAGAGATCCCGGAGTAGTGCCCCTGATTTTTTTAAAAATAGACAGTATAAAATGACAAAAAATAATAAATTTATTTTAAACATTTTTTGAATGTAAAATATTTTTTAATAGGTAATATAAAATTTTATTCCAAACAATAAAGTATACAGAGTATGCAATAAAATATATTTTACTTCAATAAAATTAATAAAAAAAACTAAATTAGATAAGGTTCCATTAATTTTGTTGGGAATACATAATTGTAGATGGGGTCAACCCCAATTTAGATGGGGGCATGCAACCCCAAATATATAATTTTTTTCAAAAAAAAAAAAAAAAAGTTTAACAGCAAATATTAGTAGGGCATTGGCCCCCAATTCTTTCTCACTGGATCCGCCCCTGCAAAAGAGCCAGATTCCTGACCCAGAACAAGAGAAGTTTGTTAGAATATGCACCCAGCTCTGTGGATCTTTCTATATACGAGGACATTTTCTGTCTTTCACTTTGTATAATACGAATTGGCAAGATAATTGCTACCCCTCTCTCCTACTTTTATATCTTTGTTTGGCAACATATATTTTGTATTTAGAGTGTGCTATATCTCATATATATAGAAATAAATAGAAAATAAATGACTGCCTAGAAATATCTTAAGATTAAACAGAATGAATGATTTAAACAAAGTATCTTAAGAAATAAGAATATGAATTGTATTTCTTCTAGCTCTAAGATTACCATTGCATGATAGTACAAAGTAGACTAGGTACACTAAAATTGTGGTAAAATTTAATCCCAGGGTCGTAAAAGCAGGTGCTATTATCTTTGTGCGCTGATTATTGTGTGCTGTAAGGTGACAGCTCTAAGGATGTAAACTTTAGTAATGCAACAGTTTTCTTCTTGTAGATTGGTGCTGAAAAGTTTGACAAAGAATATGCATATAGCATACGTCACAATTATGGGAAAGAAGGAAAGAGAGTGGTAAGTCACTTAGTCATTGTCTGATAGGTTAATGCATTTTTGATGGTTAGCTTTAACGGGAACTTTTACAATCATGCATAATAATGGCATGGAAGCATAGGTGTTTTGATTTTATTTTTCTCAAAGTATTGTCATGCCCTGCTACAGGATTACACACCTTATTCATGCCAAAAGATAATCTCATCAACTCATGGTGTTGGAGATCATCATGGATGTCCTTATCGTCATTTCAGGTTACAGGCTTTAATCTGAATTTTCAACAAATGTAACTTCTACCAAAAATTGTAGACATGCAATTCATCACAAACATAAATTTATTATAAAGTTCAAGATTTGAAAACAATGACCAGAAATTTTTTAATTTTTTTTGTTCTAATTAATTAATTTAAAATGGTTTGGTTTGAATTACCTTACCTTATTATAAGTTGCTAATATTTGGTGGATAGTGAAGAGAATTTAAGAGCTGCCCTCACCAAGATGGGAGTTGGACACCATGTTCAAGCGGAAGTGATGGGCAAAGTGCGAAATAGACATTACCAGGTCAGGCAGTATATCATTTTCTAAATTGGTCTCTCATATACTTTAGATGACTTCCAAGTCTTTTTTACATTGGGTTAACATTGTGATCGTTGCTCGGCTTCTAGTTAGCATGCACATTGACTTTTGAAGCTATTCATGGCTCACCATGTGATGCTGGGATTAATCATCCAAATCAGTACTTCAGTGACAGCAGAAAGATCTTGGAGTCTAGGGTAAATTTCCTTTTCTGCGATTCCACTAGAATTAATCATTCGTCTAACTTATAATATTCAGCACATGTTATTCAGTCAACTAATTTCTGGAATGTAGACATTTTGCTTTGACAAATAATTTCTCCATTTCATTTTGCTGCCAGAACTCCACCAATCCGTGAAAAGGTGCTTTACTATCCAGTATCCACCGTTGTGTTACAGTTCCTGCCAGATCCAATACTTGATTAACTAAGGGGACGTTGATTAGCCTCGCTTGGCTGGGAGAGCCTGGAAGCCAAGGCAGAGTCCATTGTATGGAGCTGTTGTGGTTGATTCAGGTGGGACCTGGGAGTTGTACAATGTAAACTGCTGCATGTGTGCATTGCCAAATGTTTATGTAACATCATTAGTCTACTAGATGCCCAAGACGGATAGAGGAGGAATGATGTGGGTTGATTCTCCCCTTGGCGACAATGCTAATTGGAGACTTACATGTTTGTTGATCCCAAACCTAACACCTTAGTGAGTTTGTGCATTTGAATTAGGGGTGAACACACTTCAATTTCCGAAACCTAGACAATAAGCCAAATCAATTTTGGGTCTGGATCCGTAATCTAAATGGATGGACTAAGGGGGGAAATTGGACATCGGAAGGGGGATTACGGGTCCCTATTCTGGATAGGGAAAATTAGGATTGGAATAACGGGTCGGTCCATACCATGATACGGGGTGTTCATTTCATTCCACTTGTTTAAATGTGAACATTTTATTTTACATCCACTGCAAAGTCATGAGCAATTTTGTTCTACTTAGTGAACATTTAGGTTTTTGTCTAGTGTAATGATTGTGCATATAGTAAAAACTCACATACTTACCCAACATACCACTTTCATCTAGTAAGTAGGAATAGTTCGTTTTCCACTAGCATAAGAGTATACTTATTTGTTGAGAAAAGGTTGTAATAAACCAAGATGACATACGCCCCCATTCAGACACCTTTTTTTTTTTGAAGTCCAGACACCTTTTATGCAAAATATCTTATTCTACGAGTTTGATATAAAAAATCCAAAAGATGTTTTGTTACTTGTAGGAGTTGAATTCAACGTTTCTAATCTAATCTTTGATGAGAAGGCATTTGGATAATAACGATTACTCAGTGGTTAAAATTGTGTCAATTAGAAAGCCGGATGAATACTTGCCACTGTGGACTCCAAACAAAGTCCAAAGGGAGAAAGAAACATAGGGTTGACACACAATGGTGCTAATTGTGCAACTCAGATTGGGTGCCTATGCTATCCTAGATGCTGAAGACGAAAATTGTCTTTTGGGGAGCACATAAGCGAATTAGAGTGATTGTTAATATCAAATGTGTGTGTGTGTGTGTGTGTGGATCGACCATCCAATCGGCAAGGATATCCAACATCAACCCTAACGTTGACTGAATGATTGTTCGGGTAGCCGGCGGACTATCCGACAAGGAGTTTAACCCATTCATTTTGGGTGGGTTCAACATGGACCCAATGGCTGTATTGAATTCCATCAACGAAGAGAACAAAACCCTAGAGAGAGACGATCCTGCCAACGAGGAGACCCAATCCGATGCCGAGGGAATGTCCAACGGAAAACGTAAAAAAATACAAATTCGATCTTTTGAATTATTATTTTGATGAACATACAGATAAAAATACCTGAGTACATTATAGCACTTGTAGACATTGTAAAGAAGTACTCCTTTCATCCTAAATTAAATTGTCCGCTTACGATTCACAAGGTCAAACTTTATCCACTTTCTTTCCATATTTTCGTTAGTCAT